AGGGACCATCTTAAAATTCTGTCTACCACATGTGCTAAGTGTATGTTTAACTTTGTAAGAAACCATCAAACTATTTTTCAAAGTGGCTGCACCATTTACCTTCCCAACAGAAGTATATGAGAGTTGCAGTTGCTCAACATTCTGGCCCACATTTGGTTTTGTTAGTCTTTTTCATTTTAGCTATTGGTGAGTGTGTAGTGGTATCTCATGGTGGTTTTAATTTGCGTTTCCCTAATGACTATGATAATGAGATCTTTTCACAGGCTTATTAAAGCATAAAATTTTGATGAAAGATTCAGCTGCTTTAAAAAAAAAAAAAGTTGAAACCCACTGGCTTAAACTATCTGTGAGTCTCTTAGTGGGTCCCAGGGTCCATCTCCTTTTCTGAAATAAAACAGTCTCTCAAATGTAGGTAGAATGTAGGTAAATAATTAGTGTAAGCACTGTAATCTATATGTGGTGAGAGTTGAAACAAATATTTCTTCATTAGATACAGGGCCACAATCCCAAATCTGAAGTTATGAAATCTGAATTGTTTAGAAAACCAAATTTTTTTCTTGGTTGGCATCTAAAACCCATTGGTAGCAAAACCTGAAATGAATGTCTGTGTTTTTTGTTTTCTTGCAGAAGGACCCTCTATTATCCCATGCCTGTGTAGGCTGCCTGGAGGCCTTGCTTGACTACCTGCATGCCAGGAGCCCAGACATGGGTAGAAACCCTCCACATTCTCTGATGTTCTCATGAGGGAGATGGGAGGGGGCCAACCGCTGCTACCTCCTGCTCCAGTCTGCCATCCCCTGTTCTGCGAATCACACTCATTTTGTGTAATTCTTTTAACGACACTGCATCGGCACTGTTATGCCCAGTTTACAGATGAGGACACTGAGGTTCAGGAGGTCAAGCAACTTAACCGACCATGGTCACAAAGCTCTTAAGTGGCAAAGCTCTTCCTGTTGCCTGCTTCCCACAATAGTGGGATATATGGTCTCTCTGAGCCAGGCAGCATGGGTGAATAGAAACCCAGGGAAGAAAGAAACTTCCTGGGGTCAAATTGTCCAATGCCCTGCCTCTAGCTGAGTAGCCCTTTTTGAGCCAGTAGGAGAAAGTCCTATTTAGTAATGTTCCAAGGCCTTTGGAAAAGCAGCATTAACAACCCAGGGTGACTGGTGTTTCCCATAGCACTACATGTGGCCTCCCAGCCCTGGAATCGGTTTTTGCTGTTTACCCTCCTGGATGCTGGAGAGAATTCCTTCTTTAGACCTGAGATCTTGAGGCTCATGACTCTGGTAAGTGCAGAAAGGATGGTCTTGTGGTCTGAAGAATGTCATGAGTTGGGTGGTCCTGAGGAGGCCAGAGACTCCTTACTTTAGGTAACCCTAATCCTTAAAGAAGGTAAAGGGACTAGGCAGGCCTTCATCCTACAAGAATGCTGCTCAGAGAATTCCCTTCAATGTCCATGTCTCCTCACCCCAGAAAAGCCAGACAGTCTTTCTCAATTCACTCACTCATAAAGCATTGACTAGAGCCTGCCTGCCACATCCCAGCTCCTATACTAGGTACCAAAGATGCCAATGAGCCAAATGCTCTGCCTTTAAGGATCTCTCAGTCTAAAGGAGGAGAGAGATGAGGAAACTAGAGTGAAAGCGTGACATTATTAGTGGTAGAGTAGAAGGTATGCTAAGTGCCTGGTGCGCAGTAAGTGCCCATTGCATAAACAATAAAGCAGGGAACCTGTGAGGACGGTGGAGCAGATCAGTGAACGGATCAGTGCCAGGTGTAGGAAGAGAGTCAGTGACTGAGGAAGGGAGCTCTGCCGGGGCTGGGAGGGAGAGTGGATAAAACATAGTCAACGCTCAGGGAAGGACATTCAATAGCGAAGGTAACACTTTAGCTGAGGCTTTGCGGATTAATGGGCAAAGAGGAGGAACTGTAGTCCAGGTAGTGAAGCGAGAGCAGCAGGCTTTAAGCACATGGTGGCGTGTTTGCATAACCACACATAATCTATTTTGGCCATGAGTGTGAGGTGCAAGGCAGAGAGGTGGGGGTGGGGCAGTACCAAAGGGTTCAGCAGGGCCAGCTCTCTTAGGGTTTCACAGTCTGCCTCATTTGTCCCACTCCCATGACACAACCCCACCCTTGCTTACCAACTCTGAGCTCCTTGAAGGAAGGGTGCTGTGGGCTGCAGATCTGTGCTCTCAGCCCAGTGCTGAGCACAGCAGGGGTATAGGAGAAATCTCTGAATGAAGGAGAAGCTGAATCACTGCACGTTTGGGTCCTCTCTCCTCGGGCCAGTTTGTGCGGTTCCAGAGCAGGAGCGTTGTCTCTCATGAAGAGGTTGCTCTTGTTCTACAAGGCGCAGCTTTGGCTGACCTCTCTACCCTCTCGAACACCACACTCCAGGCTCTGCATGGCTTCCTCCTGCAGGTGTGTAGGAAGGGGATGTGTGTAGCCACTGTGATGCTAGACCCTCCATACTATCTTCTCTGTGGAGGATGGGAGCTCTGGCCACAGTAGCCAGTGGGGGGTCAGGAATACGGGAGTGGCTGGAGGGCAGAGAGGGCCTGTGTGGAGTAGGCTCTGAGAAGGCCTGTCTTCCCTCAGGTTCAGAACATGGGCCTCCTGGCTGATCATAGCATAGCCCAGACCCTGCAGGCCTTGGAGGGCCTTTCCCCCAGGGCCTCCTCGGCCCAGCCGCCACTGCAGGACATGCTGTATCCTTTCTTGTATCTGGGAGCTTTGACCTGTGCAAGGTGACCCAGGCTATGGGAAGATGTGACATCATGCTTCAGGACAGAGAGGTGCACTGTCTACAGCCCTGTCCTTTAAAGCAAGCAGGGTTTGATGAGAATAATTAGTGGTAGCAATTACAATGACTTGTTCTGTTTATTAAGATCCTACCAAGGGCCACATTATGTGCAGTGTATCTAATACAGCAGCTAGGAGTATTAGTGTAGTTGTAACTTAGACCAGAGAGGTTAAATGACATGCCCAGGATCACATCAGGATTTGATCCCAGATTTCGGTTTCCAAAGCCACATCACCAAACTCAGGAAGGAGCTAGTCCTTTCCCAGGAGCTTTGGAGAAAGTCCCCCAGCCCAGTTGGTACAGGTGCTTCCTTCAGCCCAACATGGGAGGTGCTGGGTGACTGGCATGTCCCTGAGAAAGCCTGGGGTTGTAAGCAGTGGTCAGAGGTCCTCTGGGGGGTTGTGGTGCTCCAGAGACACTGATCAGCCAGTGTGTATGTGTGTGTATGGAGTATGTGCTTCCTCGCACCCTTACCGGCTGCCTTCCTGGCTCTCCTCTTTCCTTTTTCCTTGGAATAGTTCCCTGTTGTAGACAAGTACCTAGCCCAGGTGTTCAGGTGCCAATTTTAGAATTCAGCCCACTCTTAGGAGCACCTCTGTTCCTCTGACCGTTTCTACACTTTTGGGGCTCTGGAAAGGTGGTTCTCCCATGATTGACCCTACCTCTCTGATGTTCTCCTCTCATGTTTTGCTGTCAGCTGCCTGGGAGGGGTGGCTGTATCCCTGTCCCACATCAGAGGCTGACCCTCAACAATTGAAGGCCCAGAAATAGAGAGGACTGAGACCTGGTGAAGACGGGGCACAATGGTTTGGGGAAATGGCTCATCTGGAGCCATTTACTCTCTTGTTGAATCAGGAAATAAAATGATACACTCACATGCCTGTGTGAGCACTCCAAAAACATTTGGTTATTAACTTATGCGGGCCTCTTCTAGCTGGTTCCTCAGCCAGGATGGGTGGCCTCCTCAGGGAAAGAGGGCTGGGATTTGTCCTCCTAACACGTAAGGAGCACCAGTGCGAGCTGGCTGCCTTGGTTGTACCTAGAACACACTAGCTGGGCCATCCATCCTCAGGACTGGAAGGTAGAGAAAGGCCATGTGTTCCGTGCTGCTGTTATCCAAGTGCTCTGAGAGTCACTTTACCTGCTGCCTCACCACCTCTGGTGAAGGTGGAGAGAGGTATAATTTCCAGACAGGGAAGCTGAGCGGGTCAGATCCTTCTCAGCCTTCCTAGCAGAGCGGAACTGGCCCAGCCCTTCCCTGGCTAAAGTAGGTCCCTGTGTGCCTTTCTTTAACAGCCCTCCTTGGAGCTTGTACTTTGGAGCTTGTTCTTACATACATGTGTGGTTTTGTTTTTTTAAGTATGTCTGTATTGATTTCAGAGAGGGAGGGAGAGGGAGAGAGAAAGATCAATGATGAGTCATTTATCAGCTACCTCCAGCACGCCCCCTGCTGGGGATCAAGCCCGCAACCCCTGCATGTGCCCTAACCACCCCAGAATCCAATAGTGATCTCCTGGATCCTAGGTCGATGCTCAACCGCTGAGCTTCGCTGGCCGGGCTGTGCGGTTCTTTCAGTGTCCGTGCTGCACAACTGCCCGCTCCTGTTCCGAGCTCAGCCCACTGGGCCTCGAGCCCCTTTCCCACCTGCCTGCCTATGAGGGCCCGCTGCCTGGAACTGGCTAGCCCACCCTTCCTTCTCGGGTACTGACCCTGCACAAGTGATCTGAACTCCGCCCTAATGAACCGACGGAGAAGCCCCGGATGAACTGGGCTTAGAACTTGGTGGACCCAAGGGGAGAGCAGAGGATGTGCCAGCTCCGCACTGCTGGTTGCTTAAAAAAAACGAAGTGCTAGTCACGACCCACTAAACTGATCTTGATCTTGCCAAAACACTCAGCTGACAACAGTTTCGGGGAGGGCGCCCGGTCGGGTCAGGGCTCCAGTTTGCTGACGCGCCCTCTAAGTTGGACACCGACTTAACTTCCTCCAGCCAGACCTTTACCGAGCGCCACGCGCGAGCCCCGGCACAGGGCGGATGGAACACGAGTCTAGCTGCCCTCTCACGGTACCGGCGCCTGAGCCCGGCGGGGCGGAGCCGGAAGTGAGGTCGTAGTCGCGGTGGTCGCGGCCCGCGCTCATTGGCCAGGAGTGGCGCGGTGGGCGGGACGGCGCCCGGCGGCCCCAGCGCGGCTGGTGGCGTGTGTTTTGGGGTTCCGCACCTTTGCCAGTCTCCCCGCGGACCTGCGAGCCGCACGCCAAGTGCCTGCCGTACTGCTCCTTCCGGCACTCCCGGCCCGGTAGGTGGGGGAGGGGTCGCCGGTCGGGTAGGCTCCCGGTAGGGGGGCTGGAGAACGAGGGTCCTCGAACCGGCTGCAGGGAGTGGGAGGTACGATTTGCCTCTTTTCTCCCCAAAGACTGGAGACAGCAACCGGGCTCCGCGAGCCCAGGTAGCCGGCCCAGGGCCCGCCACCGCCACGCCACTCTTGCCGAACGGGTTCAGAGTAGCTCACGGAGCTGGAGAGAGCTCTAGGGACTGGCGGGCGGGGAGCGGGATCGGCAGGCCGGCTGGGTGGGAGTAAGAAGGCTGAGTCCTCCCCGCGCAGCCCGGTTTTCCGGCTTGCTTTTCCCGCTCTTCCTCCAGTCATTACCCGCTGTCGGATATCTCCCTGGCCCCAAGTTCTCTAGCTTGTGTCCAGTTCCCTTGAGCCTGGAGGGTGACGTTGGAAGTTAGGGAGTCCTGGGTGAACTTGGACTGCTTTTCATTCTCTGAGTTTCAGTTAGATCATCTGTGTGCGGTGGGGTTGGTTCTCTAGGTGGCCTCTGCAGGACCTGTCAGTAACTGAGCATCTCTCCCCTGGGCAGGTGTCCTGGTAGAAGAGTGGCCTGCTCCGATATAGGCTGTGCTCATTTAGACTTGGTGTAGCCTGGGATAGCTGAGTGACTGGGCAGTTACCTCTCTTTTCTGTGCCTTGGTTCCCACATTGGTAAAACTGGGTCCCTGTCATCTGAGTCTGAGGCCTTCTTTGACCACTGAAACACTGCACCCCACCAAGTCCCTCTCATTCTCCTGTGCTGTTTTACAAGTTTATTGGCTATCTCTCGCTCCTACTGGGGAAGTAACTGCCATGAGTGCAGGCGGTTTTGTCTTACTGCTGTAGTCCCAGCTCTAAAGCGGTGCCTAGAACATGGTGGGTACTAAAATCATTGTGAAACATTGCCTGAATAGGATAGGTGTTGCTTATGGTGCCCATGGTTCCAAAGTGAGTGAGTAGCATCCATTTACCCCAAGACCTCCCTGCCTCCCTTCTGCCCTGTGTCCTTTACAGAAGTCGGGGAAGGAGGGAAACACCAGAAGTTTGACATTCCGTCTGACTGCCTGGACCTCCTTGACCAGATACCTTCCCCGGGGCCAGGATGGAGAGTTGGGGTTGAGAAGGGAAGACATTGACCAGCCCCACCTTCCCCAGGCGCAGTGCCTCACCCAGTCCTCCCTCCCTGGAGCAGGGAGGTGACCTCCTTTTCCTGCTGTACAGTGAGGAAGCTGAGGCTTAGAGAGACTGGGTGGTTTGCTGCATGTTCCACGGTCAGGAAGAGAGAGGGCCCCAGCTCAGAGCTCCAGATGCTGACTACAGTGCTCTAAGCGTACCTGCATTGCTGACAGTTATCTTGCTCCCTCTTGCCTTCTGCCCATTGTCTTTATTCTGTGTCTGCTAGTCACAGGTCCTGGGCTAGGGACTGGAGCTCCAGGGCTTCCCAAAGTTGGATTCTTGGTATTTGGAGCCTATGCCATGTCAGGGGGAGTTGCCATTCACCTCACTCTGTTTTATAGAACACCAAGCTCCAGATCTCACCACCTTTCTCTGGGTTGCTCTCCTAGCTCCAGGGTCGTGGATATGGACCTTTTGCAGTTCCTGGTCTTCCTGTTCGTCCTGCTCATGTCTGGGACAGGAGTCACAGGCACCCTGAGGACCTCCCTGGACCCAAGCCTGGAGATCTGTATCCTTTGGGGTTGGAGGTGGAGTTAATGAGCTGTGCCTGAGGGGGTCTATAAATGAAGTCTCTATAATCACAAACCCTTGGGGCATTCTAGGGATGGATCAGGCCCCGCTGATAGGAACGGGAGAGAAAAGGTAAGGTAGTTTCATCAAACCTTAATCAAGTCCACTGTCTTCTGAGCCTCAGAGAAGGCAAGGCACATTTCTCAGAGCCATGAGGGCTCTGAGAATTGAACATATGTGCCTAGCACCTTGTGGTGAGACCCTGAGTGGGGACTGAGGCCCTGGCATACTGGGCCACCTACTCTGGTCAAGGCCTTGGGGACACAAAGATGAGTCAGGACCAGTCCCTGGCTTTACAGCCTTCACAGGCCTCTCGTTTTACTTGGTGGTCACTGCTCTGATGGAACGTGGGAGAAACACTGCTCTGGCTTTAGAACCAGGTCCTAAAAGGACAAAAACTCTTAGATGCCCCGACTGGATGACTCAGTTGGAATGTCGTCCCGTACACCAAAAGTTTGCAGGTTCAATTCCTGGTCAGGGCACATACATAGGTTGCGAGTTTGATTCCAGGTTGGGGTGCATATGGTAGGCAGCTGATCGATGTTTCTCATATTGATGTTTCTCTCTGTGTCTGTCTCTTCCTTCCTCTCTCTCTAAAATTGATAAAAACATTCTCAGGTGAGGATTAAAAAACACACAAACTCATAGAGAAGGGTTGGGGGGCATCCCCGGCAGAGTGTACAGCGTGAGCAGAGGAGTGGAGGTTCTGGGGATAGTGAACGGCTGTGGGAGATGGCGGGCAGGCCATGAGAAGGGGAATTCAGGAGCCAGGTCCTGAAGGGTTGTGTTTAGGGGCTTGGGTATGGAATCCTCTGTAAACTAGACAAATGATACATTGCAGGATACGAACCTTCTCAGTTTGTTAGTTCCCTGGGTGTGTGGGGAGGAGGACCTCATACATGGGAGTCTGTGGCCTTTGCAGATATTGCTGGTCAGGAATGGGCCTTCTGGTTGCTACCACTGGATTATCCAGGCAGAAGTATTGGTGCCAGCTCCTTAACTTAATGCTGCTCAGACAAGAAGATGTTTGAGGTGAAGCGGCGGGAGCAGCTGTTGGCATTGAAGAACCTAGTACAGCTGGATGATGTCCACCAGCAGTACAAGATCCTTGATGTCATGCTCAAGGGGCTCTTTAAGGTGCATGCAGGCACAGGGCCGCTTGTGGCAGACCTAGTCTTTGGACACTGAAGGATGAGTAGGAGTTCCTTAAGGAGATGGTGTTCAGTTAGGGGGAACTGTGTGAACAAAAGATTTGAAGTAGGGTTTAAGTAAACTGGGCTGCGGCTGAGCTGTGAAGGCCTCTGCAAAGCCACTCAGCCAGGTGTGGTTCCCTCAGGTGCTGGAGGACTCCCGGACAGTGCTCATCGCTGCCGATGTGCTCCCAGACGGGCCCTTCCCCCAGGACGAGAAACTGAAGGATGGTATGTGGTCTTCCTGATCTCTCCCTTTCCTTCTCCCCACCACCTCGATCTTCTCTAGTTGTTTCTTCCCTCCTGTTTTTGTCACTCTTTTTTTCTCTCTGGAAAGATCCTCTCGCGGCACCTTCTGAGTGTTCCCCTTTGGTGGATAGGCACTTAGTACGTGGTTCTTTAAGAATTTCTGGGCTTCAGAGCCAATTTCTGTGTCCCTGACACAAATGTATTCCTTTGTGCTGTCCTGTGCTCAGAGCAGGGGAACCAGGGAGGAATCTCTGCCCACTACCACTCTAAGGATCCTTGCCTTCTCCACCACCCTGACCTTTGTGGTAGAGAAGGCAAGAGTTCTTTCCATTTACAGGAGAAACAGGCCTACTGAAGTGACTGGACAGTGGGGGCAGTTACCCACACTCTTTTTAATTTCATTTTATTGATTGATTCTTAGAGGAAGAGAGAGAGAGAGAGAAACATTGACTTGCTGTTCCACTTATTTATGCATTCATTGGTTGACTTTTGTATGTGCCCTGATGGGGATCGAACCAGCCACCTTGGTGCATCAGGACAACGCTCTAACCAACTGAGCTACTTGGCCAGGGCACACACTCTTTACAATTGTTCTAAAAGCCTCAACCTCCTATAAGATAAAAGAATATTCTGTGTCCCTTCATTCCTGCTTCCAAGAATTTCTCTCCAGTGGTAATTTTCCCATTAGCTGATGACATTGTAACAATAAAATTTCTTAGATTACACTGAGAGAGGTTGGAAGTAGCCTTTACATATTGAATGGTGGACACTTTTACAGATATCATCTCTAATCTCCACTATAACTGAGGAAGTTATATACATAACTTGGCTCTTAACCTATAAACCAAGCTCACCCCAGATTTCAAGATGGTTCTGAAGCCCAGGGATCCAGCCCCAGTTGGCTCAGGCCCAGCTTGGCATATCTTTGGAGGAGGCGGCTTATCTGTGTGTGTCACCCGGCCAGTGCTGGTGAGGGCTGCCTGGGCCTTATCTGCAGGACATTTGAATAGGAGCTGCTGCCAGGGCTGGGTCTTTACTTATTCTTCATGCTAGCCTGGGTCGGGGGGGATCTGCCACCATGATGGACACTAAACTCAGTCTAGACTGACCTGTTGACCAGAGGAAGGATATTAGTGAAGAAATTGATGAAATTCAACAAGGTCTCTGGGTGTATTGTATTGATGGTAACTTCCTGATGTAGAAGTTGTACAGTGGTTATGTACGGTGATAACAGTAGAGGAAGCCAAGTGAAGGAATTTTGTGGTGTATTGTATAAGTCTAAAATTACTTAAAAATAAGTACTTAAGAAGCATTTAGCCTGGCTGGCATAGCTCAGAGGTTGAGCATCAACCTATGATACAGGAGATCGAGGTTCGATTCCCAGTCAGGGCACATGCCTGGGTTGTGGGCTTGATCCCCAGTAGGGAACGTGCAGGAGGCAGCTTATCAATGACTCATCATTGATGTTTCTATCTCTCTCCTTCTCCCTTCCTCTTTCTGAAATCAGTAAAGATATTTATACATTGTTTTAAAAAGAAGCATTTAAAATTAAATAAAATTGGAAGAGTATGTTTTAAAAACAAACCCTGACGTGTTCCCTGGCAATGCTAACAGACCTGACCCTGCACAAAAACTATGGTTGTGCGAATCAGGCTCTGGACATTTGGACACCAAGTTGGGGAGTGTAGGCCCCAGCAAAGCCTCATGTGATGCATATGCCTCCATGTGCAGAATGGCACCCACCTCTCTGGTCCCCACAGCAAACAGGTCTTCTAAGCCATGAGATAATGGGGGAAGAGCACAGCCTTTGCAGTCTGACAGAACTGGGTTTGCAGCCTAGGTTTGCCACTCAATTTCTCTGTGTAAAATGGGAACAGCCGCCACATCTCCCTCTAAAGGTGGTTTGAGGATTCAGGGATGTGGTGGACATAAAGTCCTTAGCACGTAGTGCACATGTGGGCAGCAGGCAGCGGTCTCTTTTCCTAGTGGGCTTGGTGGGTTTGCCTCCATTCTCTGGGGGTGCCTAGGGATGGCCAAGAGGGAGTAGAAGGGCATCTGTGCTGGGCACTCAGCAGGTTCCTCTCACCAGCTTTTTCCCAGGTGTTGGAGAACACGGCCTTCTTCGGCGATGTGGTGCTGCGCTTCCCTAGGATTGTGCACCATTACTTTGACCACAACTCCAACTGGAATCTCCTCATCCGCTGGGGCATCAGCTTCTGCAACCAGTCGGGCGTCTTTGACCAGGGGCCCCACTCGCCCATCCTCAGCCTGGTAAGGGCTGGGATGGAGGCAGTTGGGAGCCCTGTCCCCCAGTGTCCTGTGAGCCTCGCAGCTGCCTGTAGCTGGGCCTGAATGTCAGCTCTTGGTTGCATTTTCTGTGATAAGCCTCAGGGCACCTTGAGGTGCCATCTCAAGGGGTTCTCTGCTGACCTGGGTCCCTATGTTTCATCACTTGGCCCATATTTGCCCAAGTCTTGATCCCTTGAGTGACCCACTGGTGAGCAAGAGGCAGGAGAAGGCAGAGGATGACTAACTTTTCCTCATCTGCAGATGGCCCAGGAACTGGGGATCAGCGAGAAAGACTCTGACTTCCAGAATCCATTTAAAGTAGACCGCACAGAGGTGAGCTCTGGGGGCTTGTGGCTGTGTCTGCTCTGCCTCTGCTGGGCTACGGGAAGCCAGATCCTGTGGGGGTTGGGGTGCCTGGGGTGGAGTGTGAAGGCCTTGAACTTGGAGCCAGACATGCCCCAGTCTAGATCCAGCAACCATCACTCACTCACTGGTGCCTTTGGGCAAGCCACAGCCTTTGTCTTAGCCTTAGGCTGCCTGTCTATTCATGGGATGTGGATGCCAGCTATTGGGGGGGCAGTCAGAGGCTGTGCACACACCCTTCTCAGTATATGATAGGCACCACATCAGGTAGATGTGAGGGAAGGCAGGAGAGGTCAAATTGTACTCTTCTCTGTCCTTGAGCCTCTGATCACCCAGCCGGGCTTCTGTCCTGCATTCCTGCACATGCTCTCCTAGGGTGCTGAGGTGGGCTCTCAGGGCTGCGGGCTGTGGGGTAGGATAACAGATAGGGTCACATAGAGTAAAGGAGAGGAGGTGATCAGAGGTGGTCAGAAGGGTAGGAAGGAAGGGCTGGAGGACTCGACTCTTCAAATCACAGGCTCACCCTGCTAATAAGGAGGGGAGGGGCATCAGGGTCTGTGAGGGCTCTCAGATTTTACACCCTGTTTGCAGGCTAACAAGCTCGCCTGCTGCTGTTTCATGGATACCGACATGTCAGAGGCATCAGAGTTTACTGCAGCAAAAGCAGTGTCAGACTGTTGGACTGGTCATGTGGGCTCCCCTTGTTCCCTGAGTCCCACGGGAGTGACACAGAGGGGCCCAGATGGATATCACACAAACAATGGGTCTGAATCATAGCTGAAGAATACAAAGCTTGGGGAATTCACCACTTTTTTTTTTCATCCTCACCCAAGGATATTTCTTCCATTGATTTTCAGAGAGAGTGGAAGGGAGAGAGAGAAACATCGACGTGAGAGAGACACATCGATTGGTTGCCTCCCACATGCCCCCTGACCCGGGGCCAGAGATTGAGCCTGGAACCGAGGTGCATGCCCTTGGCCGGAATCCAACCTGGGACCCTTCAGTCCCTGGGCCAGTGTTCTAACCACTTTGCTAAAATGGCCAGGGCAATTTACCACTTTTATAGTGAACAGAAGCAAACCTGCTCTTCATTTCAGGGTTGATAGATCACCTCATCCTTCAGGGTTCGCTGCAGACTCAATCCTGAGAAATGGCCCAGAGTGGTCAGGGCTTTGCATTCTTGATGTATGTATCCAGCAAGAACATGTAGGGATGCACAGGCCATTGTGGATTGCCTCCCCCACAGGCATCCCTCAGCCCTACATATCTTGGCTTAACTCAGATTTCCACATGAATATGCTATTCAGTCTATTAATCCAACTGATGGAGTCTAAAACTATATTTGTTTAATTGTTTCACTGCATTTAATTAAGGCTGCCCTCAACAAGACTAAGTAGCAGGATGAGGCCAGCCTGCAGTATTGGCCTCAGCCATGTGCTCCAGGGTCCTGGACTCAGCCGGCTGTGATCAGTTTGGGGGAACCAGTAGGTCTTATTTTAGACAATTGGATGTGGTCTAAGGCCAATCTATTATTCATTACCACCCACACAAGAGTTTAGACTGACCTGCTGATCTTTATGTTATTACCAGTAATTACAAGGGCAATAGATGTACCCACAGCAACCCTCATCCCCAGTGGAGAGAAACTCTGTGGCCCACTGTCTCCCACATGTTACACTGGATTGGGGTCACCATTACATTCTTTGGCTGAATCCCAAGTGTCAGTGTGGATTTGCAGCCTCAGCTGACCCACATGATAGAACCCCAGGCCACTGAGGCATCAGGAGAAGGAGCTGGATTTGTACCTGTCAGATTGAAGCAAGGTTGGACTGGCATGTGTGTCTGCACAGGGTCACTTCAGGAGCTGCCTTTGATGGCATCAGGCACACCAGAATAGTTCAGTGATCATGTGGTTGAGAATGACACATCCAGCAGCTGGTCAGATTGTCATCTGCAGCTGCCACTTGCTTGAGCAGATTCTAGGATTGTTTTGCCAAGTGGTGGTGCTGGATAAAAGGCACAGAGAGGATTAATTGTCCCCTACACCCCCTGGGATCTAAGGCACTCTCCCTAGATGCTGGGATTATTGCTACAAAATTTGTGTGTCACTTCCCAGGACCTATAATTTCACTTTTTCACTAATCATCCCCTACTCTTACCTAGATCTTTGTCTACAAGGGTCATATGTGAATGGGACAAGGGCATTTTTACAAAATTTTCAGAGGCATATCTTGGTCCACATGGGCCACGGTTGGGGGAGTTGGCAAGGAACATACTCAACCAATGGTCATTATCCTAATGATCTTGGGCCATACTGTTCCAACCTAGGACTCCAGGTAGTCAAACCAAAACTAGAGAGTCAGCTTTGTGCCAATCCATGGTGGCATGTGTGTAGCTTTATCTAGTACGATGATGCATTTAGGTGGTAATGACTGCCATCTGGGTAGATTTGATCAACAGTTTGATTCTGGTCAGTATCACCAGAGAAGGGGCCTTACTGTGGGCATCTAAGTGAGTGACTCAGACTGTCCAGTTGTCAGCCACAATTTGTTTCCACAGTTCATGGACCCAAAAAGGGATGACTGTCTGATCTGCCAGTCTGTAGTCTTATGAGTGGTAAACCAGATGGCTAGGACACTGACAACAGTAAAAATATAACATGCCTGGTCATTAGGAGTATTGTCTAGGCAAAGGTGACGACTTTTAATTCAGATCAGTGTCTGGCTGGCCTTTGTGGCAGCTGGTCTTTCATTGTTGTCACTGGGGCTGATGGCTGCTGCCACCCATAGACAGCTATGTCAAGGGTCCCCAAAACTACCCCCTGGTTGATGATGTGCTAGGACTCAGTGTATGATCGTGCTCATGGCCATGATTTATTACAGTGAAAACACAGTAAGGAAAATCAGCAAAGGGAAAAGGCACATGGGCAGTGTCTGAGGGAAACCAGGCACGAGCTCCCAAGAGTCCCCTCCCAGTGGAGTCGCAAGGCATGCCTAATTCCCCCAGCAACACGTGACAACACGTGTGAAACACTATCAGGGCAGCTTATTACAGACTCAGTGTCCAGGGGTTTTATTGGGAGCTGGCTGGTCCTGTGGCACCCTCTGCCTGGCACATACCAGAATTCCAGGCCCCCAGAAGGAAAGCAGGTGTTCAGCATAAATGACAGACAGCTCAGGCACAGTGAGCCACCCCTATCAATTAGGGTGGTAGGAGCCCTCGCAGAATCTGAGTTCCCAGACACCAGCTAAGGGCCAACCTGGGAAGCAGGCCTTTCAGAAATACCAGTCAGGTTCGCTCTGTTAACTCTTCTGCACAGCACCATTTCCTAGCGATTCAGCTGAACTATCAGTGGACCAAGACTGAGTATTTAGGGTAACTTCTGAATTGAGGGCCTTGTTGAGTCAGTGGCTTTTTCACCCCTTCATGTAAATCCAAGGTGACATGTTCCCCAAAGTTGCTTCCTGCAATCATGGTCCTGATACATGGCCCCAGTAAGGAACAGTCAGGGCTGTATTCTTGGGATACCTAGCAAAAGCATGCAGGGGTGCTCAAGACCATGGCATGTTGCCTCTCCCAGTGCGGGAGCGCCCATAGGGATGCTGGTGGGGAGGCTCCTGTGCTTTTCCCTTTGGGAGTTGATGTGGCTTGAACTGGGTGACAACAGTGGGGCTGGTGAGGAATGGTAAGATTCTGGTTCTGTTTTGAAGGCAGAGCCAATAGGATTTGCTAAGGAAGCAGATGTGGAGTGAGCAACAAGCATTAAGGGTGACTTGAAGATTTTTGGCCTAAGCGTGTGGAAGAATGGAGCTGCCATTTTCTAAAATGGGCAGACCGTGGTGGGAGCACGTTGAGGGCTGGGTCGGGGATCAAGACTGTTTCTGGACCTGGTGAGCATCTGAATGATGTCAAGTAGGCAATTGGCTATCTGACTGGATTTCAGGGGAGAGGTTGAAGCTCAAGCTACAAATGTGTCATGCATATGAAGAAAATACCAAAATCTGTGGCCCAAAATCTGGGGGGGTGAGTGGTAAGGGCAGATAGAGAAGCCGTCTGAGGCCTGAGATGTGGCTGCACTGAGAAGTTGGGGGAACGAGGGTGAACTAGCAAAGAAGGAACAGGCAGCAGGAGAGGAGCGAACCTGAGACTCGTTTCCCAGAGGCCACATGGGGAAAGTTACAGGAAGGAGTGATGGGCCCATCAAACCCTGCTGGAAGGTCAAGGAAGATGAGGCCTGAGAACCAGCCACTGGATTTAGTAATAGGGAGGCCATCAGAGGTCCTAACAAAGGCTGCTTGGGTGGAGGGGTGATAATAAAAGATTGGATTTCAAGAGAATGAGGGGAAAGGAAGTGGGAGCAGGAAGTATAGACAACCCTTTTGAAGAGTTTGTTTTCAAGGGGCGCAGACCAGTGGGAGAGTAGCTGGAGGGCAGTGTGGGTTCGAAGCGGAATTTAGTCGGACAGGAGAGACTAGCATGTCTGCCTGTTGATGGGAACAACCCATTAGGGAAGAAGAACTGATGATGTGGGGGTGGGAGAGTTGCTCCATTGCCAGGCAGCATGAAGGGCCCACTTGAGTTTAGCGTCAGGAATTTAAAGGAGGCTTTAGCCAGGCCTCGTGGGGAAGGGATCAGGAAAGGGATGGGCAGTGTTTCTCTTCTGCCCCAACTAGACTTGGCTCCCCTGGTGAGGCTGAGCCACCTGGGGATGAAGAGGCCAGGATCCCTTTACTGGCCATTCCCCAGCCAGAGCCAGAAGGTATGGGAGAGGCCTGAGGGGTCTGCCAGCTCCTCATCTCCAAGCAGACCACAAAATTAATTCGTAAGGATAGGAGGTAGAGTGTGGTAGGGGAAGCACTTCATGAGGACAGCGATGCTGGAAGGGGACTGGGTTTTGGGGAGATGAGCCATGCCAAGTTGGGGGGGATCACTTGGGACATCCCAGTGGAGGTGCCAGGCAGGCAAGTAAATATGGAGGTACACATTTAAGGGTGTAACTGGCCATATAGACATAATAGAAGCCATGGGTTTGGAGAGAGCAGGGGGGGAAGAGTGCAGGGCCTAGGGCTGCACTTGAAGGGTGTCTCCACCTGAGTCCTCCCACCCCTGCTCACCCCATGTTCCCATTTCCTCACTGGGCACCACCATCCCCCGGCTGTGGATGTCCTGAGCCTGGCACTGCAGCCTTTGCTTCCACTCCCTTTCCAGGGTCTGTCAGTTTGACCTCTGATCCACCCGCCTCCTTTGCGCTCCTTCCCGAGACAGGATGCCTGCTGTCTCTCATTCTTGCTGGCTGCTCCCCTCGTCCTCAGGGGTATGGCAGCCAGGGCTTGTGGGGGGAGGGGGTCTGTGGTTGTTGGGCACTCAGCTCCCCCACCGCCCCCCCCAAGTCTGTTGTTCCTCTGATGCCGGTGTTTATTCACACCTCCAGACCGGTTCCTCTGCCTGGAATGTCGTCCTTCCCTCATCCTGTTTGCTGTCAACCTCTCTTTTTAAAAAAAAATAGTTTTTATTGATTTCAGAGAGGGAGAGAGAGAGAAATTTCAGTGANGTTGAAACATAACAGCACTTAGAAGAAAACATTTAAAAAATCAAAGAGCAGGTCAGGTGTCAAACTTTCCGAGCCATCCAATCTCTCAGGATTTTCAGGCTTGAGAGGGAAGGATGTGAATCACTGGACCTGGAAAGAAGGCGCAGGGGAAGGAAACGGGAGATTTCCTGGCCATCTCCTCTGTGGAAGAACTGTCAACACAGTGTGGCTGAGCAGCATGGCCAGGACCCTGAGCTTCTGTAGCCCGGCTTTCCTGACCCTTCAAATAGGGGTGATAATCGAACATTAAATGAAGCAATGTGTCTACATAGCATATAGCTTTATAGCCTGGCGTATAGTAGGTACTCAATAAATACTACCTGTGATTAGCTCCTGAATAGCACCTGGACACTCAGCTATTTGGAGGCCAATTAGATTTCTCAGTCCTACGTAACTTATTTTTTTTCAAATATGTTTTTATTGATTTTTAGAAAGGAAGGGAGAGGGAGAGAGAAAGAACCACTGATGAGAGAGAAACATGGATGGGTTACCTCCTGCCTCCCGGGGGGGGGATTGAGCCTGCAACCCAGGCACGTGCCCTGAGCGGGAATCGCACCTTGATTTCCTGGTTCATGGGTCAATGCTCAGCCTCTGAGCCTCCAGCAGGGCGCGCTGCTCTCAGCCCCTGGCTTATCTTTCAGGACCCACTTAGGTGTTGTCCCCAAGCCCATTTAACCATTTCCGTATCTGCTTGGCTTCCTGAGGGCAGGGCCTGCGTCTCAGCAACCGTCCTGTCCTTGCAGCCCAGCCCTCAGCTGCCTGTCTCAGTACTAACTGCTGCCAGTGGACTGAACTAGACCACTCTGCTCTTCCCCCCAGTCCATTTCTAGCACCGACCCTTTCCAGAAGGCCCTGAGAGAAGAGGAGAAGCGCCGGAAGAAAGAGGAGAGGCGGAAGGAGATCCGAAAAGGCCCTCGAATCTCGCGATCCCAGTCTGAGTTATAGCCCCGTTGCAGCCCGGGGTTCAAGGGGCCGTGAGGAGGACAGCGTGGCCAAGGTGAAGCAGTGCTGACTGGTTGGTGGTGAGAGCTGGCCCCTGTGAGAGGGGAGGCCATGTTTGCTTCGTCCCCTGGAGCTGGCTTTGAGCCCAGCTGAAGGCACTGGGCCACAGAGAGCTGGATTTCTTTCCACGGGCCTCCCTGGAGGGGGCATTGAGGGGACCTTCAGAGGACACTGTGCTGAAAATCTAACCCTCTGGAGATGCTGGGGAGGTAGGAGTGGATCCTCCCGGTGGGTTAGGACTGATGGCTCACTGCTGCCCTTCATGGGGAGGTAGCAGAACTAGGCTCTGAGCCACGTGTGGAGGTGCCACACCTGCTGCTGGCTCCAGTGTGTCACTGAGCCACATGGCACAAGTTCTAGCCCTCTGCAGAGACACAATAAAAGCAAACCCTCTGGGCAAATCACAGTTGGTTTGGGCCCCGGGTAGCTGTGAGGCCCTTTACCCAGGCAGGTGGCGAGGGGCCTGGGTTGGGGAACCAGAGGCCCTCCGAGTTGCAGAGAGTACCTTAGAGTATGTTCCCATCTCATCATGGGAGCCCCAGGCTCTGGTGGGGCAGCAGAGCAGGGGCTTGGCTTAGGCCTCCTAATCCCTTCTCAGTACTGTCCTTGACGAAGGATCAGTGTTGGAAAGGGACTGGAAGTGTCCTGGGAGGGTGTTTATCCAAGATGATCTTGGGGCAACATGATCTCTATCCTCAGCTATCTGGGAACAGTCATATAGCAACTTGTCCTCTCTGGCAGTGCTGGGGGACCCTCAGCCTGTGGGCAGAGGCTTGGGGACAAGCTCTGCAGAAGACTGCACTTTGTAATGGCAGGGCTGCCCCAAGCTGGATCATCTAGACAGTGAGCTCTCTGGCTTAGGAGGTATGCAAGCAGAGACCCATGTTCACAGGGCAGGGAAGCTGCAGAGGCCCTAAGTGAGCAACTGCCCTTCAGTCATGCTCTTCACTGGCAGGGAGGGAGAGGCTCTGGTGGGAATTCTAGTTCTGTCTCTTTGACCTTGCCAACCCAGGGTCTGCTAAAAAGGGGAGAGCGAAGCATCGCAGAACTCACCACCACCTAAGGGAGACCCAAGTCTTGTCTCAGCCCATCAGACTTGCTGAGTGACCCTGGCTCCCCTTTTCTTTGCTGTCATTTCATTGGTAAAGTGAATTTGATGATGTCTGAATTGCCTGCTCAGCCCTGAACAATTTCCTCTAAGGCTGGTTCTGGCTTCTCAGTGACACACGTTCTCTGCTGGTTCTTCATTCATCCCCTAAATTTGCTGCACCCACTGTAAGCACAGCCAAAGAGGAGCCCAGTCTTACCTGTCTTCACCTCTGCCCCGTCTGGTACCTTCATTCTCCTGGGCTCTTCCTTCTATACCTTCAGCCTCTCTCCATCTTGGTTGATACCTTCCTCTCCATCTTCAGGTGCTGCCAACTTCCAAGTTTTCCCATCTGACACCTTCAGAGAAGCAAACAGAGCCACCGTG